AGATATTGTTGATAGCTCTGGTTTAATATTCACTTATGAGGAGAGTCCTAGAGAGCACAGTGCTGGTGTGATGGTCGTTGGACATGAAATCGACTATAAAATGGTTATTCCTCCAAATACTCCTAACTTCACTGTCACTTCAGTATGCTCAGATTCTTGTACTAGACAAGTAAGGATGTGCTTGCCCCTTATGCTAACTTTATTGTCATTATTGCATTAGAATTTCCCATCAGGAGGGATAAATGTGATTGGGAGCATGCTCCATACTCATTACACAGGTACAATGCTTAGTTATACAACCTATTGCATACTGTACTAATAATAGGTGTTGGTTTGTCGTTACGCCGAGTGAAACAAACGACTTGTGATGGAGTCTCTTATTATGAAGAAGTGAAGCCGGTTGATAGGAACCTTCGCTTTGATTTCAACTATCAGCAAACGACGCATCTTCCCCAACCAGTCAATGTTTTACCAGTATGTTTATACTCAACCAATTATTAGTTATAATAAGCAATGCAATCACTTTTAGGGTGAAACACTGATGCTACAGTGCCACTATGACACTACGCAACGTACTGGAGTTACACTGGTATAAACTATTATAGTTTCAAGATTAGAATTATGTCTTTTTATAGGGAGGACTCTCCACTAGAGAGGAAATGTGTTTCACTATTCTTGTATATTACCCAAAAATAGATAATGAGTTCTGCCTGAGTTCACCAATGTACGACAAGTACAATGATTTCATTGATCAACATGTACCGTGAGTTTGAAATCATTGGCAGAAATCTTGTTAAATTCAATTATAGTGATCAGCATAAAGCTGCATTTAGGGCACTTGTGCCTGAAAGATCATCAAAGTCAGACTATCAGAACACGTTTGATCTGTTGGAATGGAATAAAACACAGATTGCTGCATTTGAACAGCTAGTATACACAACAGGAACACATAGGAGTGTTTGCCCTTCGGTTGGTTGAGTAACAGTTACTTATATATATATTATGCATTATAATTCACTCTTTGCTATAGGAAATTGTAAATACGGTACCGTCTCTCTCTTGTTTGTATGAGACGACTGATA